GCACAAACTGGAGTTTTCTCTCCCTTCCCCTCCCAGCCCACTGCTCTTCCCGGCTCCCGAGGGAGATAGGGCCCGGGGCTTGTGGAAGCATAGAAAAATGCAAGGATTTAGCAAAAAAAAAAAGTGAGGCTGCGGCTGCAAAACGTGTAAGCAAGATAGAGTGGAAAGGGAAGGCGGCATCCCCTGCCAGGCTAGCTGGGCGCTGGGGTGGCAAAGCCCTGCTCTGGCACCAAGCAAGGAGGGCAGAAAGGGATGAAAGCGGTGCTGGCCCTCCAGCTGCAGGGCCAGCCTGTCCTGGGGGCCAGCCCCAGCACTGCTGGGCTCCTGGGGCCCTTCCTCTCACCACACCACTGAGCATTGGCCACCTTTGCACACCAGTGGTGGCTGATGTATCACACCCGTAAACATCAGCTTCAAGTTATTTTACTTGTTTGGCACTGTATAGCAGCAATATTAGTATGGTACTAAAAAAACCCAAACAAGAACTGATGGAACTTCCCTACATCACATCCTTTCCTCCAGCAATGTCCTCCCTCTGGTCCCAGGAGAGGAGGACAGAGCTCACGCTGTAGGACTAGGTGGCACACAATGCTGCAGACCCCTCAGATGTGGTCATCTAGAGACCAGAGAAGGAAGAACCACCCAATGCAGCCCTCTCCCTTAACTAAAGTGCTTTGAAGACACTTGCTGGTATCAATACTTGCTTTGTCAGTACCATTAAAGAACTGAACATCATTGCTAGCACGCATCCAGGTGACAGTCCCAGCTCCCATGACTTTAGTTGCACTGATTTTCACGGAGCAGTGATTTTGCCTGTAGACTCATACCCTGGACCACACCAAAGCATCCCAGCCCTCCCCAGTCCTTGCACAGCAGCATCCTTAAGGCCTTCATCATCCACAGGGAAAATAACCATTGCCATCACCTGGAACTGCCACGCTGCCTACCCTGGACTCCAGTCTTTGTCTGTGGGTTCGGTCATTCAGCACCAGGAGAACCTGGGCAGTCACTGGCCATTTTGTTTATCATATATAAGAGGGGCAATGGACAAGTTAGGGGTCACTCATCCTGCTTCTTCTTTGGGCTGTCTGATGGAGGATCACAGCACAACAGAGGCTTATGTTGAGCTTTAGCTATTCACTCAGCATGAATTTTTGAGCTGCTGGAATGAAAGTTTCTTGGTCAGGTAATTGATATCAAACTAATACATCAAAATCTACAAGCACAGGAGGCCAAATCCCACCAGATCTGCAGAAGGAAGCAGGAGGAAAGGAGTGCTCCCAGTCCGCTCAGCTTGTAGCTTAATAGAGAAGGTATCTAATGGTTCAGTAGAGAAGAGCTGTAGGAAATCCCCCTCTTTACCTCTGAACCTGTTGAGATGCCTTCTCCCCTCCTACCAGTCTCCCTGGGAAACTGGAAAGGCTGGAGCATGAGCCACACGCAAGAAGAGATTCTCTGCTGAAAGAGCCTTTCACCAGAGAGGCAAAAGGCAGATTGGCTGCAAGCCCCTGAGCCGGGAGCTGGGAGGAGGCACGCAGCATGCACGTGCTGGCTGCAGCCACATGTAGGGTGGGTACGGTGCCAGTGGCACTCCCAGGCAAATCTCTCAGATGAAAGCCCCTTCCCAGCTGGTGAGACAAATTAAGTGATGCTCCATATGCAGGAGGAGCCTGGAGGCAAGCTCTTTCAGTACAAGTAACACCTGTGCAACCCTGCAAGCACCACTGCAGAACACCCACTGGATGCAGCCCAGCAATGACAGCATCCATCACCACTGCACCTCCCTCCCGCTTTAAAATATCCCACTGCTCACAGCAAGAGTCCTTCCCACAGGCTCACAGCTGCCCTGGTAGGGAGCAGAGAAGCTATTCCACAGCTCACAAACACCACATGAGAGATGCTTTCTCTCCCCTCCATTTGTACGGACAGCAAAGCGTCTCAGGCTTATGGATATGGGACTAGGACAGCTAAAAGCACCAGCAGACCCCATGGGTTGCTAATACCCTCCCCTTCCCAGTAACCCTTTTATTATGATAAGAAGGTAATAACTTGATCCACAGTATTTCTATGGATGTCTATCACCCTTGAGAGGCACCGCCAGCCTTGCCGACAGAGGTGGTGTCTGATTTCGGCCCCCATCACACAAATACCAGGATCCTGGGTCTTCTCATCCCAGATTGGCATTTCTGATCACACAAACAACTCGTTGTTTTGGAATGAGACCCTGTTCTGTCTTCTCCAGCTGCAAGTGAAAATCCCACTAACACCTGAACACTGTAAGCAAAGTGTTGACCTTCCCTGCCCTTCCAGGGGCATACAGCTATAGGAAGGGGGATACCTAAAGCATCAAAAGCACTGCAGACAAGGAAATAAAAGTAGCTCAGAGCAACATGCTCCCTTACACACCACCCATTTTCCAAGGGCTCTCAGCTCCAGAAGCAAGCCAGATTACCCAAACCTGGACCCACATCAGATGCAAAGCAACTTTGCTTTACACCAGTTGAGAACCTGGCCCAGGGAGCTTTTGCTGAGCAGCAAGTCTGAGTTTCCAGTCGCTTTCCAGGTGATTTAGAAGCTTGCACAGACCTGTTTGCCCCTCCTTGACAATAACAGAGAAATACAGAAATAAGCTTGTAATGGCAACCTGGAAAATTCCAGCATCCGCATGCCAAGTTTAAAGAGCCAGCCTCCGAGTCGGAGCGGGCCAGATGATCTGGTGGCACAAGCTCCAAGTAGGTTTACATGAGGTGGGTTGGTTGACGCCAACTCCAAATCCCTCCAGCAGCCAGTCGGCGTAACATCTGAATAGCCAAAGGAATACATTGCAGCAGTGGCAGATGGCCAAATATCTTTAAGGAACAGCAGTTTATAGAAGTATTTTCATGACTAAATGCATCTGAGCCCAGCTAGCTGTTGTTTATAGGATGGAGGACACACTTCTGAGCTTTCCAAAAAAAGCTTAGGATACAGGTAAAAAAAATTTAAATCATTTATATGCTATGAAACCAGACGTGGGCATTCAGCCAAAAAAAACCAAAAGGGCATTATTCTGTAGTTTGAAAGTAAGCATTGGGATAATCAGAAAGAATAGCCCTAGGTATGACTGATAAGCAGTTACACCTTATGACCATCTGATGAGAATGGATTGAAAGAGACTTTTGGAATTGCCTGAGCTATTGCATAGATAATCAGGAAAGGCAACTGCTCTCAGGAATGACTTCAAATACTATTTATGAAGAGCACACGTATCTAAAAAAGACAACTTTCCTCTGCAATTTTATAACCTGCCTTTATTCTTTGCAAAGATAGAAACACAGTTGCATCCCCACCCCAACTCAAATTTTATGATTTGTCTTGTGCTGAAGTCACAATCCTGACTTTATGATCTCACACCTGTTGCCATGGAAATGGTTGCTCTCAAATTCAGCCTAAGAAAAAAAAATTGAGAATTTAGTGCCACCGAGACATTTTCATTTGAGACTTGAAAAATAAAGCTATCCATTTATCCTCAGTGCTCTGTACAGTCTTTAATCCGAGTAGTGCTTGCTGTACTATCCAGGACCCTTCATGTCCATTCCCACGCTGTTAACTTCCCCAATGCCCCAAAACCTTTCCAAAAACATTTTTTTGAACAAAGGCCATCACAAATCTGCATTTATAGAACACACTGATTTATAGAACATGGTAGCACATCAACACCGATATTGCAATACCTGCAATAGCTGTCAGGTGATACCAAAGACCTAGAGCAAGTACTGTTATGTTCTAGTTCAGCTCCAGGCTGGCTGGGGACATGAATAGATTCAACAGGTACCTCCCAAATGTGAAAAATGTACCTCTCCAGACGGAGTTAAATTTTTTTTTCTCCCCGAAAGACAAATCGCAAAACAGAAATAAAAATAACACCACTCCTGTGGTGAGGCACCTGTTTTGGCTTTGCAGGCCAGTTTCTTTACAAAACAGCTACAGTGCTGTGAGGCTGGGAGCCGGACAGCCAACTCTCCCAGATCCCAGCTGCTCTGGTGGAAATTCAAATCTGATTTTTGCCATGAGGTGGCACCAGGACAAGCCCCATCAGTGGAAAAAGCAGCCAACACAAGGTGGGGCTTGTTTTTTTGTATGTTTAAATGTTTCATAGTCAAAGAGGTTTGTTTAGTAGAGGAAATAGCATTATAAAGAGAACACTTTCCACTCCTCCTCTTTTTCCAGTGTTGTTGCCTTCTCTTCAGTTTCATGTTAATGACTCCAAGCCTTGTATGTGTTTAAACCATGCTGATCTATTAAATGCAAAAGGACAAAATGCACCATGGTGTCTATTGAGAAGGATGAACTCAGTTCACCTTCTTCCCCTTTAATCTGGTTCCTCTGCATGCCCAGTGCCAGCCTGGAAGACTGGTAGGAGTTGCCATTCCCTCTTCACATCCCTGTGTTTTATTTCCTCATGCCCTATCATCTGCGGTCAATGGCCCAGGCTAAACCCTATATAATCTGTCTAGACTTCAGGGAGATAATCCTTGGTGCTACAGAAAGTGTTAT